ATAGAATTGAAACCGTCCTTCACTCGGTTTGAATACATTTACTCGCCCTACAAAAATGTATATCAGTTTTCTGATTATATTTCCTTCTCGGAACTCCGAAAATCAGCCGAAAAAAAATTTTGAATCTTGTTTTCAATTAGGAAAAAATTTCCGCTAGTACTTAAACTTTTTTTTTGGGGTTTTTGGCCACTAACTTCTGGAGCGTGTTCCCAAACATAATTTTGGATTTTCATTTTTCTTAGTCACCCCTTGATTGGCTTATCACTGAATTGGTTTAGAGAGCTCATGTGTGGAATGAACAATATTTCCCAAGTAAATGAAAAGAGCAATGTTCAGGTACTGTTAAATAGCACTTGGCAAAGTTGCACAGGGGTCGATTTTGTATAGAAAGAGCGCAGGCTTTCTTTCTCTTGATGTTTATTCTATTAATGCTATCTAGCTCATATGACACCCACGCATCGAACTTTTTGATTACAAGCTATCTAGGAATTTCTCAAGCCTATAGATCCACTTCTGTAAACAGTCTTCAAAATATTCCTTTTTAAGCTTATCAAGTTCAGCAGTAACCGCATTTATTGTCTGTTCGCTGCTATTAAAGACTTTTCCTTTAAATTTTATTTTAATTTTTGAAAATAACCAAAAACCACTAAGCTCCATATCCGAGGAATATTGTGCTAGTCGTATTTCTTTGATCCTAGAGATCGCAATAAAATTACTCGTTGTTTCAGCATTGTGGGATGGCGCGTTGTTATGATGTAAAAAGTAGCGAAGAAAATCATCTATCTTCTTGTTTTCCCACAAATTTTTGAAAGCTTTCAGTAAGCACTCTTATGGGTGGTTTCGTCCAGTTGGACTTCAAGCATGGACTGATGTATTTTTTCTGGATGGTGCCTACAGAACCAATATTCGTCACGGCATTCAAGCCCAAGTTATTAGCAATCAATCTTCTGTCAATCGCGGCTCTTCGATAAATTTAAACTTCATAAATTACAGCGGAACCCTAAGAGAATCATATAAAGAATTTCTGTTTGTGTTGGTGGTGGAATTTCGTCTGACTTAACTTCAGATATTTTGCGTTTTCTCAAATTTTAAAAGAAAGACCAATAGAGTAAATGCAGGATCTCAAAAAACTTTTGCTAATCCACTCGTACGTTTTTTAATGATGTTACGGTTGTCTCCTACAGTTGCTGATGGGTTAGGTCTAAATTTTGTCAGGATTTTTCGGAATTTTTTCGTGAACTGTACCGGGGAATTGCTTTTCGAAAAATTCTTATTTATGATCCGATTATCATGATATTCGGTTCATAGCATTTCTGCTTAGATAAGAAGGAGGACTACTTTGCTCTCTGGAAGATGAACCAGGTACCGGACCATTCAATAATATTATATTTATGGTTTAATTTAGTAAAAGTATTTTTTGCAGAATGCTCGATTTGCCCAACGAATGACAAGACAGTTTGACAAAAACTTTATATGATTCGTATTATTTTCTAGATTCTGTAGTCTTTAACCTTCTTCGATATGTCCTTGGGTGTGAATAAATATAGATCTCAATGTCTTGTTTGACCTATTTCGAGGTACTCAAACAGACATTTTCGCGAAAACGAAAAAGTTGGCCAATCAAAGAATAAAAAAACAAGGAATTAAGACAAAAGATGTAATAATCGAATTTATTATTTTGAATTATGTAGTGTGAAGTTAAGCTTAGGCCTAGCATTCTTTGAAGTTTCAATCGGACAAAAAAAAAGAAAGCCAGCGCAACGTGCGACCAGCTATTATAGTCTCTGATTATAAAATATACATTTTGTATATCTTTTTTTATACCAAATTGAGCATTTAAAATCCGTGTTCCCAAAAATGGAGACTAATGACTTTTTGAAAATTTAATTTGAATCCCATTTGTATGAGCAGGTGTATTATACAATGACTCAGATAAAACTAGTCAACTTTTCTTCAAAAATCTCAAACAACAAAAGTGATTTTGAGATTAAATTTTAATCCCTTAACATACATATAAATTGGAATAATAAATATAAAATAAAATTTCTTGTATCATCTCTTATTGTATCAGACTTTCGACTTTGCTCCCACGCAGCATGACCGAACTGAAACTTGGCTACACTTTCAGCACTTTTCAATGTTTATGAGAATAGTTTTTAAATATAACAAAATGTCTGGCACGAAATAGGGCAAACGCGTGTATGCAAAAACTGTGTGTAAACACAACTACACATACTCGTATGTACTTTGTGTATATAGCAGCATATGACAATGCGACCGACTGAGTCTATTTATATACTCCGAAACTATGCTGCATATTTATTTTTGCATTGTTTGCCGGCATTATGTTATGCAAAAGTTTAATCGAAATCATTGAAGAAAGACAAATTGCTTTTCGCTGCTGCAGTTTACTCGATGTCATGCAGAGCAACAACACTACACAGCACTAGGCGGCACAAATCCACCCACAGACATAGAGTGAGGTGAGCGTGTGTTATGCACAGACAAACGTAGTAGTATGTGTGAAGACAATTCAAAATCCATAAGAAGCTGTGCACACGTACAAACTCACATATTTATTTAGAGCATACAATATAATTTAACATACATACATAAATATGTATTGTATGTATGTAATATGTATATGTTTGTCCCATTTGTTTTCTGAAGTTTAGCTGCACATATTTGATTTAAAAAGTTTATGTCCATGTGTGTGTGGGTATGTGGGTATATTGTCTTTGCTGCTAAAGACTCTCTTTACTCTATTGACTTTCGTGCATACATATGTATAGTAAATTTATTTGCTTGTATGCAAATAATCTGCTTCATTTCAATATCCTCACATCCCTATATCCTTTTGTTGCTTTCCTGCTGCTGTCTGACTTTAATACAATACTTTATTTATTTTTAGCTGCCAAAAAGTAAAAAAATAAATTTGTACTGGTACATGTGCATGTGTGTGTGATATTGTGCTGTCATATTTGTATTATATCTATTTAAGTTTCAACATATTGCTTCGTTTTGTTCAAGCTTTGATTTTAATTCTTTTGAAATATTTTGAAAAATCAAAATACTCAAAGTGATTTCTGTTGCTTATGTCATGGCATAAATAATGTATTTATGAATTTTCGGTTTAACTCAACCTCCTTCTTTGCTTAGACTCTTCATATTTAGAAAAATTTTAAATATTTGACCTTAGTCAAAGTACAGTAATGATGAATCAGTTGGTTAGAATTTTTATTAACATACTGTACATATATGTGTGTATGTATGTATATTGTTCTGTTGAAAAACAAAAAGTTTAAATCAATTTCCGAAATTATTTTGAAAATAGCATATCATTTTGTAATTGAAAATCAGGATCTGAGCCTTGCTTTGTAACAAAAAATATATGTAATATAATAAAAATGGAGTAGTAAAATAGCAACAATGTTGCGACTAAAAGTATGATATGCAGTTATGCTATTGAAAAAGAAAAAAGTTAGCCTACTTCTTGGCTCAATGATCTCATATTAATGAAGCAACTTCGAAAAATTCATGTTTTTGACAATTTTTTTGTATAAAGTTCAAAGTGTTAGGAATATTTTCTCCAAGTTTCAAGTCGATCGAGACGAGACTGAAGAAATTATAGCGTTTTATAACCCGCCGTGTAGGTCATGGCTTGACCGATGATAAAACTTTAAACGCGTTTTTCTTAAAACCACTTTATCGAAATTGGTAGTCTAAATTTCTCAACGACTATTGAAGCGATGGAGCTCAAATTTTCCAAACTCCTTTTAAGAATGTTTTTGTAATCCCTGAACGTAGGATTTATTTTATCTTTGATTGTAATTTATTTTACAAGCTAATATGTGTCCTAAGTTTATGCAAAAAATGACGCTAAAAAAATTCAATTTTTATAAAAACCTTATAATATATTTTAAACATTTTTATTTATTTTTTTTTGAAAAGGTTACAAGTTCTGAGCTGTTAAAACATAAAATACTATTACTTAAGATATTTATTTAACTCATCTTGGCATGCTCCAAAATGTAGGCCACGTTTTATATTACCTTAATAGGCATGCCATTTAATTAAACGCTCGGAAGTCCACTCAAAGGTACAGTTGCTTTCGTAGTACAAATTTAGGTGCACTTTTAAAATGGAAATATAATTGGCGGTTTTTAGCCGCTGGAGCGATTTTTCGCCAAGCTCTTCTTCCAATTTTTGATTCTGCAAGATTTTTCCCAACAAATGAAGGGATCTACTGTTTATACTAAGCCGCCTGCGAATGGCTGATGGTTTTTTTTATGAGGAACTTTACTTCATGTCAGCAATACACTCGCAGAGGTTGACATTCCTTGCCGGGGGGCAGCGCAATTAGAAAATGTATGCAAATATTTTATTTTAATTAATTTTCTATAACTTTTTTGATGTTAGGACGACACTAAGATTTGAACCCGAGCCTTCCGAATGGCAGTAGCCACCCGGCTACCGCGGCTAATTTCTCTTATCCCGTAGACATATTTGAGTAATTCTAAAAAATTAAAAATATATTTATTAGTCATTTTCTCAAACTCAAACTTTCTGTAATTCGCATTATGCATTTACCCTCAAAAATCAAGTGCTGAGCTTAATAAATCAAATGCTTTTTTTGCTATATATATATGTATATTTATATATGTGCAAGTATAGACAAGAAACTATCTTCCAGCTCATGTCACTTGACTCGCGCTCATAGAAAGACCGCTCGTACCGCGAAGTGTTATGTATGTATGTATAAACACAAGCCACTCAAATCAGCAACATTGCCTTATAAGCTTATTTTATTGTTTATTGTATCTCGTTGTTCCACATTATGGCGCAATAATTTCTATGCAACAATCGCAGAGACAATAAAAGGCACAATTACATTAGGCATAAAGCTGGCATCTACTCTAATGAAAAACTAGAATATAAACGCAAAAATAGCAAAAGTCCAATTAATGAACTAAGTTTTATTTCTCTCATTCTCATTACAGATTAATGTGTAGAGCTTGAACGAATTTTTGGACACATTTGGAGCTAATTTCTGCAAGAAATTACTAAAAGACAGTAAAAACAACTCAATAGCCAACACACGTTTCAATCAATCAATTAAACAACCAACCAACCCACCTAAAAGCCCACTTAACAACAACAAGAAAACCCAAAAAGAATCGCACATCCAGCAGGAACTCGCAGTAAAAATCAAAAACCTAATACTTTTTTCCACAAAAAAGCACAACAATAAAAATCAAAATGTGGCCGTCTCACTGTCAACGGCTCATTCTACTGCTCGCCATCACGCTCACCTGCTTTGCCTGCCTCATTGCGCCCGTCGCGTCACGTTCACGCGACAAGGAGGGTCGCCGACGCAGCGATCGTCTCTCAGCCGCCTCATCCACCTCCGCCTCGTCCACCTACTATGCGAGCAACGGCATGAATAGCAATTACGCGTCTGCCACCAGCTCGTATACAGGTCCCATGGACACGACCGGTTTTTGTGTGCGTCGTCGCGATATGAAACTGATGTGCTATTGCACGCCCGATGAGAATCATGTGCCCGTACTGAAAGCGGAATGCTGGGTCTTCTCCGATGTACTACCACAAAACGACACCACCTGGACGCGTTTCTTTCAACAAAAACGTTTACGTGAATTAAAATTTGTTATACAAAATCACGGTCGTCTCGATTATATACCAACGTTGGTGTTTGAGGCTTTGAATAATTTGACAAGCATTATTATTGAGTACTCACAGGTGGATGTGGTGAAGAGTAATGCGTTTGCTAACTTGCCGTATTTGGAACGTATCATCTTGACGAATAATCACATTGCGGCTTTGGCTCAGGATGCTTTCGCCAATCATGTACGTTTGCGTGAATTGAATTTGGAACATAATCAGATTTTCGAAATTGATCGTCATGCTTTCCACAATTTACCGCAGTGTGAGCGATTGTTTTTGAACAACAACAATATTTCGAATTTACACGACAGCCTCTTTGTGGAGATGCCACATTTGGTTTATTTGAATTTGGCACACAATCAAATCTCCGTGCTGACCAGCGACATCTTCAAGGGTTTGGGCAATTTGAATGTACTGAAGTTGTCACACAATAACATCAACTTTATTGGCGATACTGTGTTTGCGGAATTGTGGATATTGTCGGAGTTGGAGTTGGACGACAATAAAATTGAGGTGAGTTAGAAATATTTATGCTATAAGGCTGTTTCAATTGCACTGAAACTAGTGGGGAAATTAAAATGTAAAGTTAGAAAAGCTGCTTAGTTCCTTCAGCGTCGAAGTTATGTTGTAACTTTGCAAGCCATAGAAATAATTTATTGGTATTTTTTCAACATACTAATCTTTCTTTCTGCAAGAGGAAACCATTTTTTCCAATAGATGGCGCCATTTATTTGTATCTCTCGTTGTATTTATAAGTCCTATCGGAGTCAGCTAGATGGCATTAGAGAGATGATACGAGGTGTGAGAATTAAGTAACGAGACTGGTTATCTTACCGCGATTGTGGTAACCCTGCTACCTTGAAATTACCTTTTCCTTCTCCCAGCAGCCTATTCATTGATTTATTTCCCATCGCCCTGGCTTGCTTAGTTCATCTGCTAAGTCGTGTTGTTGAATATTAAAAAAAAAATGTTTGACTTTGAAGAAAGGAAAGTTTTTAGGTAGGATGTTAACTGTAAAGTAAAGTTAGAGTTATTTATGTATAGAATGACATATTCGAATTCCAGCCCAATCGCTGGTAGAGAAAATTGTTCACCATCCGATCACGCGTTTCAAGTTTCTACAACTTTGCAGCTACCTTGTGGCTCAGTACGTACTATTATGCTACGCTCACATATGCTTGCTAATACTTTGTCAATATTTCGAATTTAATATTCATATTGCATTATAAAGTTGATTTTCCAAACCAATTTAAGAGAGTATTATTCAACCAAAACCAAAAAAAATCCATTTTAAATTGCTGTATCCCTAAAAGCTATATTCAATCCCAGTACAGCGGTTTTAACTTCATTAGAAATAGTTCCAGACTTCATAAAAAATATTTCCAAGATTTTTGTTTCAATATTTATACTCTCCAGATAACAGCGAAATTCTGAAATTATGCTGAAACTTAACTCCAAGAGCTCTTCTCTCGTTCATATAACAAAAGTTTGCTTCTTATCTCAAGCATTAAGTCATAAGTCCCATTGAAGAAATGTAGCTCCAACTGAAGGAAACTACATGCATTTATGCTTGAACATATATGCATATATGTATGTATTTTTATGAGCATGTGCATATAAATCGCATGCTTCTCAGCTAAGTATGAGCAGAAGTGCGTCACATAAAAAAATATGTGTCAGCTTTCTAACATCATCACATCAGCATAATAGTAGTTTAAGCACCACAAGTGGCTGCAGGAAGGAAGACACAAAGAGACACACACAGTAGTATTGTACATATAGTACACACAATCCAAATAAATGCGCATAAAACGCATGCAATTTGTCAAGTACAACTCAATGTTACTCATACGCACTGTTGCACCCAGACTACTACAACGTTCAACTGTCTGTCTGGTTTCTGTTTCCTCTAAATTGCATTCCTATGAAATGCACTTTTAATTTTTCAATTGCCTCATAAGCAAATGGGCAACATTGTCGGGGGATAGTGGACAGAAAAAAAAAAGATTATTCTAGATTTCTGCGTGTCTTCAAGTTTTGAATGAAAAATTTATTGTATTTAAAAGAATTTGTACTGGATTAATTTCAGTTAATATTTTAATTTATCATATTAATATAAAGCTCAATTCTTTTGTATCTCGTAGTAAATATTTAGGAGACACATTAAAGTTTATATACTTGTAATAAGGATAGAAGTGCTAACTAATGTGAGTTAGACATGCCACCTGACAGTTAATAACGACGAGTCAACATCACTTTCTCAGCTTACACCACATTACTCACATACATACATAACTACACCCTACAGCAGCTATATCCCATGTAAAAATAGACAAAACCGGTTCATGTCCAGAGTTAATCAGGAAATAATTAGTTCGCATTAAAAATGCCTCAACGGCCGAGAGACTTGAATAGAAAATCTAAAAATGCCCGTTTAGTGCATAATGAGTGAGAGAAAAAGTAAATGAGCGTGTGAGTGGGTAAAAACGCATTATAAATGAACAGAGTAATTCAGTAGCAGACAGGCGTAGCAACTAACAAATGAATAAACGACTCGTGAATGAGTGAGAAAAGTAAAAAGAGCGAGTGAGTGAGTGAGTGAGTGAGTGATTAAGTCACTTAATAGCCTTGTTTGGCTCGAATTGAAGCGGGTAATAAAAGGCGAAAATTTACACTTTTGGCCAGCAATTAAATAATTTAATGACTTGCAAGCTTCGCAGAATGAAGCCAAGCAATGTTACTACTAATATATGTATGCATGTATATATGTGTACGTGTGAAGTCATTAATGCTATACCGTTAGAAGAGTGGTAGTATTTTGTTCCAGGAGTGGCCATAACGTTTTATTACAGAAAAATATAAGCTTTTACGTTTTATTAATTAAGTATCATAAAAGCAGAGCTGTGATTTTAATATCTTTATGAAAGTAATTTTTTATGTAAGTTTAGTTCAGTTAGTTTTCGTTTTTTTCTTTCATATTTTGAACAGCAATTAATTTTTACTGCAGCCCTATTATGTGCTGTATTCATATATTGCTGGAAATGGTATTTAAACCTGAGTAGACAAACTCATACGATTTCTAATAAATATTAGTTATCTTTAATCCTATGCGAAATTTTGTTTACTAGTTGCTAGTGTTAATGAAAATTTGCAAAGTTGTCAATTTTCACAAAGGCTTGCAATGCTCTCAAATTTTTTTTACTAAATTTTTTACGAATTATTTAAATCCGATTCACTTGCAAAGGTCATTCTGAAGATTAACAGCTTAGCAAAATTTCCCTGATCATAAATAAATTAATAAAGCACTGTTGTCAGTTTTTTATTTTAAATATTAATTTACAGCTTCTGGTGTAAAAATATTATCTATGACATCTTTATTGTAGGTATTTCTGATTTTTTTTTTTCATTTTTTCTTTGACAAAATAAAAAATTTTGCAATTATCAGTGGCACTGTTGACGATTTTCTGCTTTTTCACAATTTTCTTTTGACTTGTTTTAACAACTGCTTGTGAAAAAGCTTCTTTTTTTAGTAGCACCTTTTTCAGTTTTTATTTTTCAGATTGCCTATCTACCTTTTTGAGTTTTATGTCTCTATTTCCTGTTTTCTTAGAAAAAGCTACTGTATCGATTATGAAACGTACGATTTTTTTATGTTATGTTTATGTTGCTTATGAGTGCTAGTGCAACGTTGCCTATTTTCGTTTATACTATTTTATTACCACGGAGAAAAAAATTCCAACAATTTTGCATTTTTTATTTAAGTTATAGCTTAAAATCATTTTGTATTTTTATTTGAGTAAGCAATATTTTCTATTTATATCGCAAATGGAATGTTGACAAATTTCAAATAAAATTTGCCACTTACTGTAACACAACTTTACAACAGATTTTATTTTTATTTGCTTCTTTAATAGCATTTTATTACTTCCTGTTTGGAAACTAGTTCGTAGTAATTTTCGCTAGTTCTTGATGACATAGCCAGTTTTCATCTTATTTCTGTTTTAAGTGCATATTATATAAATTCAGATTCTTAAAGAGACATTTTTGAGATATTAGAGAAAGCAAAACCTACTTTTTACTCCCAAACAATGTGGCAAAATGTCGTGAAAAATAATATTTTTTTTGGTTTGTTATTATTCTTTTCAGGGAATGTTTGCTCATAGATGACACTAATGAAGTAGATCTAGCGGCGTTGCCAATTTTCATCTTATTTCTTCAAAGTACAATTTATTGAAAAGGGTTTCCTACAATTTTTTTGAGACTGATTAGAAGATAATTTTTTTTTTAATATTTTCAACGTCAGCTGTGGGTCTGTAGTTAGTTGAAGCTTATTCTAGCAAACCCCTTAATCATTTTCTTTAATCACCACTACATGCAATGAATTCAACTAAATATAATATCCTCTATGTCCATTTCAATTACAGCGCATATCGGAACGTGCACTCGACGGTTTGAATACATTAAAAACGCTGAATCTACGTAATAATAAGCTAAAGAAACTCGACAATGGACTACTACGTGGCACACCCGCACTGCTCAACATCAATGTGCAAAGCAACGAATTGGAAACCCTGACATTTTATACATTCCAACCAATTATGGATAATTTGGTCAACAGTACAAGTGAACTGCTGCTGTCAGGTGAGTTCAACGCCAACACAAATTAAGCTAAAGTAAATATATGACCGTATAATAGACATAAATTTACTTAAATATATATACACAGTACATGCATATGTACTTATGTGAGTACATATATTCAGGCAACGAGTTGTTGTATTCAGTTACGTTTGTTAAGCTTATTCCTCAAATATTGTCTAGAGTCTCGCAAACATCTACATTGTCATTAAAATATTGCGCAGTCAGAGATATTAAAGCAAATATTTACCTATATATAAGCACATTTATATAGGAAAAATGAGACTTCAACAGATATAAAACAAGTGTCACATACATAGGCATACGTAAATTTGTATATTTTGTTCACACATAACTGTTGGCGAATCCTTCTTCTCTCTTATCATCCATATGTTGGCTGTCTCATGCTTGCGCTTGTTCTTCACTAATTACAGTCGCTTGTAATCGTTGACAGCTCGGCCATTCGGTCTGCGCGAAGTGTACGTGCCTGTCATCATAGACACTTGAATGTTGGCTGGCTATTTGTGAATTTCTTCACATTTAACTCAGTTACGTGTTTTGCATACAAAAGTGTTAGTAAGTTTTCTGTACAGTTGTGTAGGCGACTTTAGGGATGGGGATGTAGAAATATTTACTATTTTTAAATTAAAAATCAACAAATCAAGAGTTTTTTTCTAAGTTAATAGAGACTGTTAATAGGGACTGTGTAAAGGATTGAAGGATTTACATGAAAGGACTATTTCCTGCTGCAGTAGACCGTTTTGGTCGCGTTTTGTATAAATCTATTTTTAGCTCTAAAACGACTGTAACGAAATTAAATTCGTCATGTCAAAACATCAATAATGAAAACTGGCAAACATTTTTTAATGAAAAATAAACATACATATTTAAAAGGTACTCCTTTTGCTTTTTATAAATTTAATTTGTTTAATGCTGTTCGTATCTTGGAAGTTTCTATAAAATTTGAGTAACGATGAAAGCGTTTTCAAAATTTTTGGTAAAGAACTTTTCAGTAAAATAGTTTTTAAAACTCTATTAAAAATATTTGCATCTTTTTTCATTGCATTTACGTACAAACTAAGCAAATTCATCGAATATATCACAGACCTACTTCCCGGAAGAAAAAGTGTTCTCAATAGTAATGTGGGCCAAAATTATTGCAAACTTTTTTTTAAAGAATGGTTCTAGGGCACTTCCTGACAATATGTTTTTTATGTTTAAAATTTCAGGCAAATCTAAAGATTCGAAAATAAATACAATATCTTCAAATTGACCGGGCACAGACCTATTTTTTCTCATCGGATTTATACGCTATATGAAAAACACACCCTTTAAGTTTCAAGTCTTTGCAATCAGTGGCTCACCTGTTGGTTAATCCGTCGGTCATTCAATACAAAGATATAGATATCTTTATATAGATAAAAGTTATATGTATTCCATTACATACGAGTATTTATGACTGCAGTAGTATTATGAAGGAATATAAATTGGGTTTTTTAAATTAAATAAAAAGGTAATAATTATCAATTAGCTCTCACTTAGCAAGTTTATATTTGAAACTGAAATCAGACAAATTATAGCTAGAATCGATCTTATATATTTTTAACTACAATTATACTAGTTATTTTCATACTAGAAATATACCAGTATATTCTGAGTTAATATTTTATTAGTTACCTTTGCGGTAAAACAATGCCTATAAACCATCGTGTCAAAATCATATTAATAATAAGCAAATTATTACCTTTTATTTTAGCAGAAAAGGTGAATTTGGTTAAAATAATTATAGTCTTATTCCAATAATGGAATGACCTATAATTTATACGAAACTAACTCCATACGGCTGCAGTTTTTTATGTGCAGTTTTCACTTAATGTCAGAAATATACACGGAAGGCTTAATATTTTCCGTCAAGAAGGCACAGCAATTAGAAAAAATAACTTAATTTTTTATTTAAATTATCTTCTTTAATTTTTGGATGTTGGTCGCTCCATAACTTGAACCTCTAGCCTAGCGAATTTCAATACGCAATGCTTATCACTACAATTTGAACCATAATTAGCTATACATACCTGAACTAGTATTAAACTAGTCTGATATTGACTAATTTGTGGTTTTATGGTTAGAACACTTGACCAATTATACTCGATTTTACTTTATTTGCATTGTTTTATTTTTTGCAAAATATTTAATTAATTTAACATTCTCTTCGAACTGGTATTTTACTAGTAGAATGTTGATTCATTTTTGATTTGTTGGAAAATATTTTAGTTAACAAAGAAAAATTATAAAAAAGAAGAAATTGGTGCCAAACTGCTCACTAGTAGCACACTAGTTACAAACTACTAGCATTTTGAGCATCTACAAGTATTCTCACCCGCCACATGCCTGCACAGTACATTTGTGGCGTTGTATTACGTGACACTAAGCATTGCACTCATTAAGGAAATGTTAAATCGTCATTGCTACGAATGAATATTTCCGTTGACACTTGGCACTAGTCGTTTGTCGCCTGCCGCATGCCACATGCCACATGCTATAGATTATACGACTTGCTTTCGCCACTGCTGCTACTTACAGCAATTTTTATAATGTGTCCAGTGGGAAAGTAAGGCTGTGAGTCAAGTTGATTATAATGCTAAGTAATAAATTTGTGCTACCAACATATAATTTTATCAGAACCACACGCTTACATACATACATACATATAAGCGATCACACGCCTATAGCTGAAGATATGAAATAAATAAATGTCAAATGATTATCCATTAGAAAATTGACTTTTATTTGATTTAATTATGTAATAATTTTGTGAGTGTTGATTATGCTATTGATTGCAGAGAAAATTAGTATGAAATTCAAATAAGCAGAATAACTAAAGACAAATTACATAAATGAACGAAAATATGTGAATATATCTATGATTGTATGACCTCATATATGTATGTATTCATATTTGAGTTCAAGCATGTTTGTATGCCTGCGCCTGAGCGCTTTAGGTGTTTACAGCTGCCACTTTTCACACAAAACTTTCCAATCAATTTGAATGTGTCAGCACAGTGTGTGCCCCAAAAACCCATTACCACAGCACACGTGAGCCCACACACACCCAAAGTACACATACAGATGCGCATATATATACAAATGCATTCATATATATATATATATATATGGGTGTATGTGTGTGCCTAATTTTGCTAAATGTTTTGTAATTTTCTAAATTCACGTCTGGCGCCTACACTCACACATGGGACTCTCAAGCAATTTTCATAAAATTAAATGCGAGTACATATGTAAATGCATTGCATACACATACATACTTAAATACACATGCATAAACTTATGTGTGTGCGTGTGTATGTATGCATGTGTATTTGTAGTTGTTAAATGGTCTGCCTAATTGTTGGCGTATCTCACTGTTTTTCAGCTTTATCCCCCCCGCGCAGCCAACTGATCGCCACAGAGTGGAAAGTGTCCTAAACGACAAGCATGACCGCTTTTTCCGAACCAATCTCATCTACTGCTCGGCCATCTATACGGCCTACTCTTAACCTTTAACACTCTGCTTAATTAGCACCTTAGTGTTGGTGAAAATAGTTCAATAGTCTTTTGAGTTGTGTTTTGGTTTTTTTTTGTTTTTTTTTTTTTTTGTTTGTTTTGCCTTTGTTTCGAAGCACTTTGGTTTGGTTGCTGTCCAGCGCCGAGCATAGCAATCGACCAAGCCGCAACGTGGACCCATTTTAGCCTTTGCTTTCAAATGTGTGCTTCTTTTGCTCCGACTGTGTGTATGTGAATGTATGTATATTTGTTTGTGAGTGTGTGTGGGTGTGTTGAGTAGCGAGGTCTACCACGATACCGGCGCTGATGTGAAAGCTTTACAAAACTGAATTGAAGCTAATGGCAGCCATTTACGTAACTTTATTTACACATGCAAAGAGCATACAGGCGCACATACGAGTATACAAATATATATATATATATATGTATATATATGTATATATGCTAAATTATGTATTAATGTGTATGATGAATTGTATGTACGTACTCACACATGCAAGTAATTATGTACATATATACTCGCTTCCATTTGCATTTCGTAAAAGCTCTACACTTGCTTGGTGCTGGTATGTGTGTATATCTGTAATTTTATTTGTATATATGCATGTGTGTTGACATTGTATAAAATTAACGTATTTCATATAACTCACACACGCGCGCATGCACCTATTCATATGAGCATTTGTGCATATTTAAGCATGTTTGCTTGTGACTGTGCCGGTGCCAGTGTTTATGCTCCCATGCTGGGCGGGAGGGGGCTGCCTGTAATTGCATTTTGTTGCTAATGGTTAAGCGGCAGCAAATTGCCTTCAAATGACTGAAAATTACTTGAAAACATTTATTTAACTTTATTTTTATAGCTCATCGACGAGCACGCCGGTTGCTAGAAACCTATGTTTGTATGTATGCCTGTATGTGTGCTGCTAAACGTACATGCCTGAGCATAATTTCTTAATTCACTTATTACAAACATTGATTATGTCCTATTCATAGATAGCTTGTGCGGATTCTCACATACATATGTATGTATATAGATGCAATATATTACATAACTGGTTGTATCCATGAGATAAATTAAAATATTTTTTTATGCATTTTAAAATATTCCGCCGTTAAGCGACGTGTCTTTCGTTTTAAATATTAATGCAATATAGAAATATTATTTTCAAATGCAATTTTATCAACTTTTATTTGGTTGCTGACATACATATTTCTGGTTTCCTAGCAACTTTACTTGAATTTGGTTAAAATGTTAGTTAGAAATTTGAATTTGTTTTAAATTAATCAAATTTTGGTGAAGGTAATAGAAGTAAACTGGTATACTCGTAGGTGCCAGCACATATGGAGTAAGAGGATGGTGGACGAGCTGACAAGGAATGGCACTTCCCAACCACTTTCGCCTTAATGGGATGGGTTTGGGGATGTCACTCTGTTCTTGTAAGCTC